TTAACTTAAAACAATCTTTTAAATTAAAAATTAAAGGCAGACTGGATAATTTAATATGATCCTATTTAGAATATTTAGAAATATTAATGTTAAGTTTAAAATTTAGGATTGTAAAATTAAAATATTATATTTTTATTACCTTAAGAGAAAAAATTATTAGAACTTATGTAATAAATTTTTTTGCTATAGGAATTCAATTTTCCAAATCACAAATTAGTTGATTTCTAAAACGATTTGAACAAATATATTGAAAAAATTATTTCTTAAATAATGGAGCTTATGAAGCTTATAGATCCTTTTTAAAAGTTTTATATAAATATATATATATAAATATAATTTTTTATATAGTTTTATTCCGATCATGAAATGAAAGATTGCTTTGATATTTAAAATTTGAGTATTTAAAAATTAGGAACAATGTATGGATTTAGAGTACCACCTAGAGTTAATTTAAGTTTTTTTTTTTTATTATTTTAGTAAAAAAGTTTAATTATATTTTAATATATTAATTAGATGTAAAATTTAACAATCGAAATTGATTATAATTTTAATAATTTGATATTTTTTTGTTTTCAAATAAGAAAGAAATATATATATTTATATTTGTATTTTTTTTTATTAATAAAATAAAAAATAAATTCCTTATTTTAATTAAAATACAATTAGTAACTATTTCTTTTATTATTATTTAATTAAAACTAAAATGTTAAATATTCAACAACTTTCTTTTATTTTATAAAATATTTCAAAAACCGATTAAAATGGTAAAGAAATAAAATATTCTTAGACAAAATCTTTTGTATAAGCAATTAATGAAGAACAAAAAGAGTAAATTTTATTTTTTTTAATATATTTTTTAATAGTTTTAAATTTTTTAAAATGAAATTATTTTATTTTAATAAAATCAAATTATAATATTTATATTTTAAATAGAAATATATATGATGAATATTGCCAATTAATAACATAACTGATAACAGATGAAAATTCTTCACAATAATCTAAAATTTTTTCAATAAAAGTATAAAAATATAAACACATTCTATTAACAAAAAAAAAAATTAAAGTTTCTTTCATAATGCTTATTAATAGGAAATATAAACTTCTTAGAGTTTTACTAAGAACATTATTTAAATCAAATTTTATAGTCATGGTTAATAGAATACACAAATGTAAAATAAGAAGAAGATTTAGGAATTTATTTTTTCAACTTAAACAATCCATGTAATAATAAATAAAAATTAAACAAAAATAATAAAAAAAAAAAAGCTAAAGTAGATATAAAAAATGCAAATACACTATTTACATTAATATTAGAAACATATAAAGTTTTATCTGAATATTATCCTATAAGAAAAGGAAATAAATAATATTCAGAATTTAAATAATTAATTATATAAAGGGAAAATGATAAAAATTATATTCCTGAGTAATTAAAATAAATATCAAGTTAAGTAATTGAATAATTGAGACTAAATCTCATTTAATAAAAATATGATGATACTCTTTTAAAAAGATAATATGAAACACCTTTATAATAATAAAAATATACGATTTCTTAAATAATATAAAATAATAATATTTTAATATAAAAAATTTATGAAAAGATTTCTTAATCATAAAAATATGAGGAATAAGAGTTAAATGAATTAGAAAATTAATTGATTTTTTTCAATTAATAATATAACCAAAAAGATGTTCAAAATATTACAAAAGAAATGTCAAATTTGTTAAATTTGAATATTTTTTTATTATAAGAGTTACATAAAGGGAACTTTTAAAAAATAAAGGAATAAATAGAAAGTCATTTTTAAACAGATACAAATAAATATCAATAAGAAACTTAAAGCAGGAAACCTTCGACTATCTATGAAACTTTAAGTGAAAATAATTAAGATACGAACATAAAAAAAAGAACTAATAAATACAAAATTACACTCTCATAAATGATTTAAATGGAAAAATCGAAATTAAATTTATAAAAATCGCATTAAGATATAGAAAAAAGTCAATATAATTCTCGGTTTTTAGACGTTTCAAGATCAAAAGTAAATATATAGAAAGGAGTTCCTAGAGAAGAGTATAATTAGGCTTTATTTTAATATTAAAATGATTTAAAAAGATTATAGGAAAGTTTAAAAGGGAAGAATTAGGAAATTGATAATTTAAAAATTGGAATATCTTTATAAAACGAGGAAATTTAAAAAGCAAAGGAATAAAATATTTTTCTTTAAAATTAAATTGATAAATTATAATCTAAAAATTAACTTTTTTCTTAAAATTATAATGAAATGAATAATTAAGATTTTAATGTTTAAATAAATATACTTAATGATAAAATATTTGAATAAAAACATCGAATTTAAGAATTATGTTAGTAATTAGATTAAAAAGAAAATCTTATTTAATAATTGAAATAAGAAAATATTAAACAAAATGAAAATTATATTAGATAATTATAAAGTAAGAATAAATAAGGTAATTTAAATAATTTTAAATAAAATGACGATTATATTAAATAGCTAGAGATCGAAATATAATAATTATAGGAATAAAATGTATTAATTTAGTAAAATAAATAAAATAATGATTATTTTAACTATATTAAATAATTAGAAGATTTACTTAGTTAATTAAAATAATAGAATATAATTTTAAGTGAAGAAAATAAAAAATAGTTTTAAATTTAAAAACAATAATATATGAAAGTATAAGAGTTATAGAATGAAATTGATTCTCTATAAGATAAGATTTTTAGTTTAGAAAATGAAAAAGATAATTAATTTTTAATATAGAATAATAATATTAATAGTACTATATATTAAAGTGATTAAAAATATAATGAATTGAAAAAATTATATAATAAAGAAAAAATATAGTTTGAGGAATAAAAAAGGTAAATTTTTTAAATGTAATAATAACTCAAAGATCTAGAAAATAAATACAAGTAAAATTTATAATAATTATCATAAACACACAACTAAAACTAATAATATTAAGTATAATCTTCTCAAATTAAAAACGAAAAAAATAATATCGCAAAAATTACACATAATATAGAAAGTAGTAGTAATTTTCATAATAATTATAGTATTTTAAATAGTAAATAACACAATGAAGAAGTACCTAATGATCGAATTCCTTAAAAATATCCTAAGTTTATTGAAAATAACATTGAAAGTGATTAAGAATTTGGTCAGTAAAATAATAATGATATATCAATGTAAAAGAATTAACATGAAATATAAAGATTTGCAAGTCAAAGCACTATTAATATTTAAAATAGTAACCAAATGTATAAATTTAAAAGAGCTTCTTTGAAATAAAATTTCCCTTTGTATAAAAATGATGATTTATAAATAGGAATGATTTCTTAATTAAATTAATAAAGAAATGCGTTAGAAATATCTTTATATTATACAAATAAAAGTCAATATTAAATTAATTAATTCCAAGTTCATTTTAAATCAGGAGAAAGTAATAAATAATTTATATATATTTTTATTTATTGTTTTAAACAAATAAACAAAAATAAAAAAAATAGAAAATATATTAGAATTACATCCTTTAAATGTAGTACAAAGTCTTAATGTAGGTGTTTAAATAAAATAAACTTTATTAATTTAATTTATTGATATTCCTTTTGAGACTATATGTGCTAATATTTCTTATAAAATTAAAAATTAATCGTTTTAGGAAGAAATTTAAATACCAAATTCTATCAATAAATATTTAGTTTATTAAAATATTAATATTTAAGAATTTGATAATTTATGGAATTAAAATAAAAATAATGTTAGAAATACTGATTTAGTTATTATGGATAAGACTATATTGAAAAATTCTTAAGATTTATTAAGTTATTTTAAAAATAGTTTTAAAGAAATTAAATAAAATGAAGTTGTTGGAAAAGCTTATTTAAGATAAATTGATAGTATGTTTTTATTAAAAGTAGTTTTTTTGAATGAATCATAAATCGTTTTGGAAGGAATAGCTTTAAATTAAAAATATGGAGATTATTTATAATATATTTTGTAAACTTTTGAAATGATTTTAGGTGAATTGTGAATTTTTGTTTTGTTTTGTTTTTTTTAGAACAAAAAAATATTGAAATTTATAGTTTGTTTTTTTTTTATTTATTTATAATATTAAATAATAATTTGAATTATATTATTAAAAAATATTAATTATTATATATATATATTTATATATATATATATATATATATTTTAAATTTTTTATTTTCTTATTTTATTTTATTAATATTAAGATCTTATTTATATTTATACTAAATTTTTTTTTTTTTTTTCAAATAAATTTTTATTATATATTTATAAATGGAAGAAGATTAAACTATATTTGAAGCAAGAGATTAATAGTTTTTAAAATTAATAGAAGATTTTAATATGACATTTAAATTATCATAAATATGTTCCAAAAAATGTAATGTTTTAAAATAAGGTGAATTCAAATTATCAGAAGAATAAAAAGAATGTATAAGTAAAAACAGGAAAAAAAATAAATAAATATATATTCCCTTTTTTCCCATATATATATATATTAAAAAATATTTTAGATTACTGTATTTAGAATATAGTAAAAACACATGAATCATATATAAATAAAGCAAGGAATGTATTAAAAAATTGAGCATTTTTTTTCAAATATATATATATATACAAATAAAAATAAATATATATATGTATATATATATGTGTTAAAATATACATATTACTTTTTAATTATAAAATAAGATATTAAAAAATCAATAAAAAAAATGTATTTTTTAAAAAAGACTTTATAAAATAAATACTTTTAAAATAAAGTAATATAAAACATATCTTTTTTAAAGTAAAAATCAGTTTAAGCTTAATAAAACAATTAAAATATTCCAGAAAGTGTATCTTAAGTATAATAATAATAATAATTAAAATAAGATCCAAAAAAAAACAGCCAAAGTATTTTAGAAGAGGAAAAAAATAACAAGAAGAAGAATAAATTTTACAAAATTAAATCGAATAAGAAAAAGTTAATGAGATAGTTTTTGAAGAACTCAGCAAAAAATAAATTTAGTTTTAATCTGAAATTTAAAAGGAAATAAACTTCCCATATAAGCTTTATGGAATCTTAAAAATGCCAGAAATAAAAACTGCTTATATGCCAGAAAGAGTTTTTGCCTAATAAAGAATTCCCAAAGGATATATAATAGATCATTTAAAGAAAATATATTTAGGCACTTTATATTCTATACAAGAAAATGATGAGGAATTTTTAAGTGAATATTTAGAAAAATCTTTTTCTGAAAAAATGATTAATTAATTAAAATTATTAAAAGAAAAAGGTTATAAAATAGAATTATATCAAGATCAAACAGGAATAAAAGGAGAACCAATATAAGATGGTACAATTTAATTATTATTATTATTATTATTTTTATACAATATTTAATTTATATTTATTTTCTTTTTTTAAAAAAGAGTTCTATTTAGGTGATATGGTTATAGTCAGGGGTTTATCTACAGACCGATAATAAAATAAAAGTTTAAAAGACTATCACATATGGAAAGATATTGATGATATGGGATTGATTGTATATACTCCTCTATATCTTACTGATCCATTATAATTTATAGATCCTGTTAAAAATAAGACTATATACGATGATTACAAAAAATGTGTTATGAGGGTATTGCTTTATGTAAAAAATAATTATAGGTTCAAAATTACAAGAAAGGATGGGTCTTAGATCAAAATTGATGATTAATTATATACATGGGAACATCTAGCCCTTTTTGAGACTTAAATGATACCTCCAGATAAATTTAAAAGTGAAAATAAACTCGAAAACTATATGGAATGGCTTGGGAAATTCAATTTTGGAATCTGGAAAATGGTTGATTTGGATAATTGGTGTAATGGTAACCCTCTTATTCCTGTAGCTAATGAAAGAAGTTAATATAATGATGAGATTTTTAAAGGTACTATTTATGATCCTGAATATAATATTGATATTAAGTATATTTGAGTAGTATTTATTTTTTATTAAATATTTAATTAATTTTTTTTTATTTTTTTTATTTTTTTTTCTTTTATAAATTTTTAGTTTTTTTTTCTTATTTTCAAAATATTACCTTCTTTAATAATAATAAAAAAATGATAAATTTATATATTATTAAAAATAAATTTATATATTATTAACAATAAATTTATATATTATTTTTCTTTTTAATTCATATGCGTTATTATAATTCAATATAATTCAATTATAATTTAAATTTTTGATACTTTTAATTATTTTTTGACACTTTTAATAATATAATGATAACTATTTGTTATTTTTTATATACAAAAATTAATTGAAATAAAATATTTATATCACCCATCATCTAAAATAAGTTAATTAACAATTTTAATATAATATTTATGTAAAAGTTATGATATAAAAGTGATTTTTTATAAAATATTAAATAAAAAACAAGTTTAATATTAAACAATACTTTAATTTTAATATTTGGAAATTTTCAATTTATTTTAAAATTCGATATATATTTTCTGGATATGGAATTATTATACTTCTTATTAATAAAAAATAGTTTAAATATTTTAAATATTACTTAAATAAAATGAACAATTAACATTGTTTCGGCAATAAAAATTTAAAATAATTATAACAAAAATCCTCTTAAATAAATGATTATATTAAAATATTTACACTAAAAAACAAATTATATTAATTAAAATAGATAATCTATTTACAATTTAAAGTTGTTATTAAAATGAATTTAAGAAATCTTCTGTAAGTTTTTTTTTGTAAATATATTATAAAATAATGTTTTTAAACATTATTTATATAGAAAAATAATTTAATTTATTTTTCAATTTATTAATATTCATTTGATTAAAATTAATATTATTAAAATTTTAATCTATTTATATTTAAATATTATTAAATATATTTATTTTTACGGAAAACTAATATGAAACATATTTAAATTTTCACAAAAAAGCACAAAAAAATATTTAAAGAATTACATATTGTACTTAAATCGATTTTTTTATTAAAAAAAATAAATGAAAAATTGTTTATTTTTTAGGGTAAAAAATGCATTAATTAAAATGAGTTATTTACTGAATTTCCATCAAATCAAAAAATAATAAATTAATGATTATTTGTTAAAACTGCTATATAAAAAATAAAAAATTTTGTAAATTAATTATATTATTAATGGTTTTTTACAAAAACATAAGTGCTTTTTTTTTTTTTTCGATTTCATTATAAATTAAATATTTTTTTTATATATATATTAATGCATTTATATAGATTTATTTAATATAAAAATTAAATTTAGGATTATTTAATTTTGTCAAATTATATCGCATTATTTATATATACTATTTTATATATTTTTGTATATATTTAATTATTTCGTTTATAATTTATTAATAATTCACTTTTTTTTAAAAAAGAAGAATATATTTAAAATTTTTTTAGATAAATTTAAAAAATAATAATAAATTATGAAAATCATTTAATTGTTTTTTAAATTAATAAATCTTATTAATTTTAAATAAATTACTTTTAATATAATAAAAATTGCTTTTTTTTTTCACATTTATTTAATTTAAATTAATTCCTTTTTATAGAATATTATTATTTATTAATTGAAAAATCATAGAAAATATAAAAATTAATTTTTTTAAAAAATCAATCTACCTTAAGAAACTTATATTAATTATATGAATTAATATTATTATAAAGAGGATTATATTTTTTTAACTTAAGATTAATATCATTAATTAATTTTTAATTAAATTATTAAAAAGTAATGCATTTGAAATTATTAAAAAGTAATGCATTTTATTTAATTTATTTTCATAAATATTATATCTTCTATAAAAATAAAATTATTATTCGAATTTTTTAATTAATTTTATTTATTTATAAATTATTTTTGATTTTATATAAAAATATATTTATTTATTTTTTTTAATCTTTTTTTTTTATATTTTTTAAAAAAAATTAAATAAAATATTTCTGTTATCAAATTTTATATCGCCTTTTTATTTATTTAGCTGAGTTATTATAAAAATAATTTTAAAAAAATAATATAAAAACCTCAGAAAAATAATTTATAAAAAAATAAGTTATTGTTTTATTTATTTTATTATTTAAAAAAAAAAAAAATCAAAAAAACTAAAAAGCAAAATTATTTTTTTAATAATAAAAATATTTTATCTTAAATAAATTAATTTATAAATTAAAAAAAAATATATATTAATTAAAAGAATAAAAATTAAATATTATAAACATAATAAAAATACAAATGTCAGACTAAAACTCGAAAGTAATGATCAAAGTAGATTCTTTTACAACTTCTTCAAGTCAATAAGAGTAAGAAGACATTAGTTTTTGGTAAAACTCGTATAAAGAATAAATTTTATAGAAACAATAATCGAATTTAAAAACTATATTAAATAAAACAACTTAATTTAAAGTTTATCTAGTAATTTTCTAAAAAAATGTTAACGAATATTATATATAATAGCCTGTATTTGTGTATTTAAATAAAGAATTAACAGTATTTTAATGCATAGAATAATTAATAGATGAGCTGAATGAATATTTTTATTAAAAATTTAAAACAAATTAAAAGCTATTAAATAAAGATTTCATTTAATTATTTAATTTATTATAGGCTAACAAATAAGGATAACCTAAAGAATGTTGCTTTGATCATAATTAGACTTTAAGCTAAATAAACTGTAAAGAAAACATATGCTTAAAAATAGATTCTGAAGAAACTTTTAATGAAGAAGTTTTAGAAAAGATAATATATAATGAATAAATAGATAATATTTAAAAGAGAAAAGTAAGTATAATGAAATACTAAAATAGTTTATTTTAATGAATAATAATAATAATAATAATAATAATAATAATAATAATAATAATAATAATAATAATTATCATTATCATCATCTTAATAATAGATTAAAAGTAAGTTAAGTAACTAATAATTAATTTAAAAAAAACCTTGGTATTTTGATCTTTGTGGATGTGTATGATTTTTCTCAATTTTCTTATATTATATTAACTTTATTAAAAGATTATTGATAAATTTGAAAAATAATTATCTTACTAAAAATTTTAAAATATATATATGATTTATATTTTAAATCATTTATTTAATTTTTTTTCCTATATGCAAAAATTATTTTTTATATACATATATATAAATACTTTCTTTATATTTTATTTTTTATTTAATATTTACATAAATTAAAATATCTTTTAATATTTTATATATATGTTCATTTATTTTTAAATTAGACAAAATATTTTAATATATTTAATTAGATTTAATAATAATAAGAAAAATATTGATTAATAAATATAAAACTATATTATTATAAAATTAAATTAAATTAAATTAAATTAAATTAAATTAAATTAAATTAAATTAAATTAAATTAAATATAATTGAATCTAAAATAATAGATAAAAAATATTTTATAAAACAAAATTGTCTATATAAATAAAATGAATATAAAATTAAATAAAATAATGTTAAAAAAAATTATTTTTATTAACTTCAAATATTAACATTTTTATATTAATAAATAAAATTTTAATTCTTTTTTTATTAAAATTATATAAAATAAATTTTATATCTTTTTTTTTTTATATATTTTATTTTGATATTTTTATTTAACTTAAAAATGTTTAAAATAAATAAAAAGAAAATAAAATATTTTAATCATAAATATAAATTTGTAAAATTATTTTAAAATAATTTATCAGCCTCATCTTAAATTTTAATTAACGAAAGATTACCTGGAAAAATCATTATAATAATCCTCGAAACATTTTTGTATCCATAAATCCAAATATTACTTGGTTTTATTAATTTTTACCTTTGAGCTATTAAATCCTATTCTTTTTATAAATAAAGATGTATATTTTAAATAGAATCAATTTCATTCTGGATTAATTAATTGATTATTAAAGGATTTGAAATTTTAGTTGCAATATTCATATTATTTATATAAATATATCTATAATTATCTTCCTTTTTTAATTATAATTAAATTGGCTTTTCTATTTTTTCTGTAATTTTTTAACAATTTTTATCTATAGCATAATTTATTTAATTCAATTTATTTATTAGTATAGTACTTTAGTCATTATAAAACATCAAAATAAGCAATTATTTTTCAAAAAAGGCATTCATTTAATACTTTTCATTAGAGATATAAATTTTTTGTAATTAAATACTAGCATTTTCTTCAGAAAAATTTTCATTTCCCAATAAAAAACTATTAAAAAATTTACCATAATTGCATTCTTCACTATTTTATATTTATTAGAATTTATTTTGAATTTTCATTCCATTATAAGTAAAAGGAATTTCCGTTTTAAAAAAATAATCGTAAAATTTAAGCGCAATTTCATGAGAAAAAGTACTATAAATAAAATACCCAGAATAAAAAATACAATAATGTTAAATACCCTTATCTATACTACTAATAATATTCAAAAGACACTAAAAAGTTAAAAATATACTCTTGTCAATATTCGCATATTAGAAACCTTAAAATTAAAAACTTAAAACATTTAAATTTTTTTAATTATCTCCATTTAAATTTATATATTTTTATATATATGAATTCATTATTTAATTAAATATTTTTAAATCTCCATTTAAATATAGATTTAAAGGACCATGAAAAATATAAAAAGTATCATAGAAATGCGTAAGTATTTAAATTAGACATTCTTCTGAAATTCTTTCTTTTTAAAAAGTACCGGTTTCTTCACTGTAGTATTCTATTTCATTTTATTTGTATAATATATTTGAGTATGGATTTATTTGGAAAACTAAATAAAGCCAAATGTTTTATTCGATTTCTTTTTGGATATGTATGTATTTATCTTATATTAATATTAAAATATTATTTTTAGTTTAGTTATTTTAAATTGGTTCTTCAAATTAATCGTCTAATAAATTTATGTTGGATGTATTA